AACAAAAAAAATTGGTATTTGGAAGTTGCTCTAACCTCCTGCTTGGAGACAGTTACAGACTGAGACTACAAATACACTGGTATTTTTAGGCCTCTTAGAAGAAGGGAGAGAAAAGCAGGCAGGGGAAGGCACTGGGTGCTCCTTCCAAAACAAGATTTCTCTGCCTAACCCTTCCCTCCCTCAGGCTAGAAGCCCATCTCTGCTTCAAGAACATGAATCAAGTAAAGCCCTTTGACTCACTCGGGCGACAAAATCTTTCCAGAGCCATAGCAGAGGAAGAAGCCTTTCCTTACTCATCCATGGATGAAAGCAGAAGGCAAAACAACAAGCAATCCACACACAGGAGCCATTTCCTATGGAAACAAGTAGATTATAAAGGGACATAGAAAGATTTGTCCTGCTAGTGCTGGACAAATCCATCATGCACGTATATCGCACTCCAAAAACCAGCAGGAACACCAGCCAGTAAGCTGCTTCTCCCTTATCTGTGTACTCTTTTACAGACACTGGAAAATGCTGCACAGGGATGCTGGTAAGGCAGCGGATGTTTCTACGGATGGACATTTCCCCAGGCCGAGCAGGCATGCCTAGAATGAGATTCCTGCCACTGACAGGCCATTTTTCTAAGACTTGGAAGATTGAGGATTTTTTTTTTTTTTAAAGTCTACAGGCCGTTTTTCTAAGACTTGGAAGATTGAGGATTTTTTTTAAAAAAGTCTACTTAAAATTCCTGTGTGACAGGGTCAAAAGCTTGAGCTTTATCCCAAAACCAAGTATTTTAGTGAGGAAGTAAGAAGAGCAACTCTAAATAAAATAGCCCTTCCCCTTTCGAGAGGGGTTCAAATGCTGACAAGGCTCACAAGTGAAAGAGCACCACAGCTGATACACCCCTTTCCTTTGACTCTATCCAACACCAACCCAGGGTGGCCTTCAGGATAAACCCAGGACTAAAAGTAACAAAGTCTTGCAGATCAGGACTAGAGGATCTAGGCAAGCATACAAGAAGGATCCTAACCAGGCTCTACTTATAATGAGCATGGCTGAAAGCAGCACTGTTCAGGTCTAGTTTTCATGTGCAGTCATCTCCCCTTAACAAACATTGGCAAAGCTCATAGGTCAAACAATGCAAAAACTCTCTCTAACAAAAACCACATTTGGGATAGCTGGGATTCCAATGGTAATTTTAATGGTACGTGCTGTATTTCCCTTCCCTGCAATGCTGCCAGAGGGTCCCTGGGTGAATTTGTTACATCTGAATTGTGCTTTCAGGAGCCAAAGACATGTATGAGTTAGCTGGACAGGCAAGTCATGCGCATTTGTTAAGTACATTTGCAACTCCTGATGTGAGTTCAGATGGAGATGCGTTTCCAATAAACAGGAAAAAACCACAAATAGCAAGGCGCCGCTCTAACTTGCATTTGGCCAAAACATACTTGTATCTCCACTGCAAGACGTTTCCCCCACCTCTTCACAGACACTTCAAACATAAACAGGGACGTTAGTGAAGCCAAGTGTTAAATCCCTCAGAGGACCCTTATCATTCTTTTGCTGTGTCAGTAATGCTCAGTGTTGCACTTAGTATGAGCAGCATTATGGATTTTAAATCAAGCCTAATCAAAGATTCATTAACAGGCAATACATTAACGCAACATATAGCTACCAGCCACTCAGTGCCCTTTAGCAGCTCTGCACCTCCTGAACAGGCTGTGAGCATCATCAGGTCAGGATATTTCTCCAGGGTTTAATAGGATAGGTCAAAAGAGCAAAAAAATGAGTAATTATATCAAGTAAAAGAGTAGATGTAGCCAACTTCAACATATCTGTTCAAGTCATGCCACGCATGTAAATCCACCCTTCTCACAGGTGGTTTGGGTGCAGAACTTATTAAAAAAAGGCAGGCTGATCAACTTAAAACAGAATTCCCCATTTTATCACCTCTGTGAGCAGCAAACGCCAGTATTTTCTACGTCGTTCAAACACATATGTCTGTGGCTACACAAAGAAAGTGTAGTCTCAAAATCCTAGAAGCCTCTACCCATTTCAGCCCCGTAACACTTCCATTGGGTAAAGTAGCGTGTTTACTTCCATATTGCAGATGTAGACCTGAGGCACTGCGAGGACAAAAGCATGGGGTTTAGAAGCATTTAACACCTACAGCCTTTTTTTCCAGTTAATGGGAACTGGAGATAGTCAGCAGTCCCATTTAGAGCGACTTGTGCAAAGCTACAGGAAGTCCAGAACAGACTCTCAGTACTTACGATGCCACAAGGTTACTCTTCCTGCTTATCAGAGAGTACATCAAGTCACAAAAACATGGTGTCTTTTTCTGAACTTCCTTCAAAGAAATATACCTTCTACGCAAATGCTCCCATCACTTTTCCAGATTATTCTGGGAAAAAATTCAACGGTGGGAATGTATGGACCACAAAGTAATGCTACAGGAAGCTGGCAATCAGCATTTTGTGCTGTAAATAGCCTAATGACACTCTCTGTGTTCCCATTAAAGTCAACTGTGATCAGATATTGAAAAGAAGAAAATAATAATAGAATAGGATAAATACAACTCCATTGCCTGGTTAAAAAAAAAAAACCAAAACCCAACACATCTTTCTTCTAATGAAATACCTTGCAATAGCAGCAACACCACAAACTAGAAAGGGGTAGCAAGAGGGACCCAAAGCAGCTAATAACAGCCAAAATAGAAAATCTTCAAAGGCAAACTCAGCATGGCTCTCCCAGAAGCCCACGTTTTCAGCAGCATTCAAGGATTTTGGAAGTCTTTGAAGCAGAATGATCCCAGTTCCAAACTCCCCCTTCTAAATTCTGGGTTTATCCTATAAGGCTACTTGGCAAAGCTTTCTTGTCTCGTCCAGAGTATGAATGCAGGGATTTTCTTCTAACCACAAGTGTTGGGGGTTTTTTTAATATCTTTCCTCTAGAAAGGTCTTAAGTCCATTTAAAATGCATTTATCAACATGTATATAAATTAAGCCTTGCTTACATCATCCAACTGCATTTGTCCTCAAAATTTAAGCAGATCGAAAGTAATGAAAATCTTTCCAGATTAAAAATCATGCAGTTGCATGATACCACAAACTGGCTTCAATCCAGCAAGATTTTCAGATGAAAAGCAAAGAGGAAACATTCTTGAAAGCATACTGTTGATGTTATTTCAACTTAATTCCATCAAACACTGCTTACATTAAGTACTACAGACAGTAGTACTTGCATGTACAATGCAGTAAACATTTAATGACATAGAGGTAGAAAGCATCATATAATCATTCTCTGCAGTATCTGACACCTAGTATTTCTTAGACTAAGTAGGCAACAATGTAAGACCAAGCTAACATGGAAACACTGGTCTTTTATTTACAATATATCCAGGAGCCTTTCAGCCTTTAGAGCTCAGCATGTGTCACACACACAGCAGCTACAAATCTCCAGGCTCTACAAACACTTGAACACATGAATAATTTTAATCAAGCAGTAAAATCCCATCTTAAGTCATTGGGGCTTATTTCATGAGTATGCATTTGCATTATTATTACTATTCTATCTGCTTCATAATATGTCCTCAGTGCAAGGTTATGACAAGATTAATGAAATCCAGGCAACTATCCATAGCACCATCTTTCAATTTCAGTACCTCAGCATGAAATAAGGAGACTGAAAAGATTTTTTTTTCCAATGTATGTATATAAAGAGTCCTGAAGTCCATTTAATTGGTACTGTTGCAGACTAGCATACTGATTTTTAAAGTTCACTCATAAAATTTTAAGTAAAGCTAGTGACACTGAACAGTTTTCACAGCTGAAATATAGTTTAATTTTGCATTACAAATAGTCCCCCATTCCACTAAGTTTATTTGCCAATAAATTCATGATCTACATGCCACAAAGCAAGAAAATGCAAACAAGTAGGGAGAAGAAAATAGCCACATGACAAGGCTGCTTTGTTTCCAAAGAAGTTAATAATCCTATATTCTGTTTGGTGCACACAGTGTATACTTCAATATTTCAAAATACTACCAGGAACCATCCCATGCTCCAGGTACCCATCTCATGAAAACAGACATCCCGGGGGGGGGGGCGCAGAAATCAACACAGACTTTGACATTTTGAAGATGCAGAACAGAAATCTATAGATGCACTTTTAGAGTATGTTCATTGCTGCAATCTCAGCATGTTTTGATACAGTATTCAAAATATTGTAATGTTATAAAAATTATTTAGGATGTAAAGTAGCATTTTATGCCAGTTTTCCTTTGGCAGCATATTCATCTTACACTTCCACTGGCTTTATCTTCTTTGTGTTGCAGTTAACAAAAGAAAATTTAGAGACACAGGTAGGACAGTTTGTTTTGATTTGTTATTAGATCAATAATGCTGAGCCTTCCAGAATAACCACCAAGTAGCTGAAGCTCAAATCTGGGGCTTTAGAAACAATTTCCTCAGAACTTTCTATTAGAGTTTTAAGTGTCCAAGAAAACCTCTTTTTCCCCACTAGGAAGTCTTTTCCTTCAACTCTCCTTCATTACTTTCCTTACTCAGGAAGTAATGACAAAAAAATGCAAAACTAACAAGCAAAAAAAAGTAGCCACCAAGGAGGAGATCCTGGCAGGTAATTGTATGGCAAAGACCTCTTAACCAAGTAAACTTTCACTGTCTGTAATCACAAGAACACAAACCCAAAACAGTGACTTGTAAAAACAGAACTTTTCTAAGTTTAGTTTCAAAACCTAAAAATAGGGTTTTGCAGGGGGGGGGGTGGGGTTCTCCACGTAGGGTTTTTACACTGTCAGCATCCCTCTGCCTTCTCCCTTTCTGTCCCAGCTGTTAGCTCAATTCACACCTTTAAAAAAGTCATCACCAGACCATAAGCTGCCAAATTAACATTCAGGATAGCACAATTCAGGAGGGAACCTACTCAAAAATACTGTTCTGTTGCTCACAAAATCCAACATGCACAAAAGGAAAATGCAAGGATGAATTCTGTACCTCCAGCTCCGTCTCTCTCCGATTGATATCATCTGTAGATTGATTTAGTTTTTCCAGCTCCCCCTAGAAAGAAAGAAAAGTCAAACGTATATGAAGAAATCAGGGGGAAAAAAGTGTCTGAGAAGGCTCATTCAGCATCCCCACTGAAAGCTCACAAGGGCTGTGGCTTACAAATTCAGTGAAAAGAGGAAACCTTGAGACATTTAGAATAACTTTGCCACTGGTCTTCTATTTTGCTACTTACAAGAGAAATAACCAGAGAAGCTCTGTGTTTTCATTTTAAGGCAGTATATTTCCTGTTCTAGCTTATTTGTCACCGTTAAAAATAAACATAAGGTATGGTAAGTTCTGTCTTGTTAATCAATATAGTCAGTATCTGCTAGTTTCCAGTGAGATACACACACCCCCACCAAAAGGATTAGCATAAAGTTAGTACTATGACAGGAGACATACAGTGAAAGCACAGCATTGATAAGAAATATGTCTTGCAGCACGAGAGACATTTTAGTCCGGATTTTGGCAAACCATTTTAGAACACAACCAGTCAATGGGACATATGATTATGTTTACGTAGCCTGCCTTCGTGCCAACATTTTGATCTCTTAAGCAGCAAAAACAAAGGTGTTAAATCCCTTGAATAAATATTTACTAGAGGTGGTGTTGGCATGAATGAAGTTACTGTAAAAACAAAGCTCATTCTTAATGACTTTCTTACCACAAAAAGCAACCCCCGGGAGCAGACTCCAATAGCCTTCTTTATTTGAGCAACATGTTACGCCATGTGAGATCCTATGATTTCAACGGGAGTGTTCTCTAACTCAAACATGATTTAGTTTTCAACCAGTGTAACAGACCTCACCTTGAGATGTTTAGCCGTATAAACCGAACACGGTAAATTGATTGTCACTTGAGCAATTTCCCACTAGATTACAAGAATGACTCTGGTTACAATCAGAAAGGAATTAATTGCAACAGTTTAGTTCTCTTGTCCCTGGAGGTCAGATTTCATTTCCAGCTCCTAGTATTTGGAAGATACATATTTGCATATCCATGTTTTCTGAAACAGACACTCATACAGAAATTACCTAATTGCCTTTTACTGTAAGGCTGAGATCGTTATGGCTCTCACGGAGGCAGACACAGCAGCCTGTTTTTTCAACCAAACAGAAAACTCAACAAAAACACTCTTTTGCCAACAATGTGCAAATCAGGTATGTGGAAACATGTTGCAAGCTGAAGAACCTAAGGCCAAAATTAGATCAATAGGCACTAACGGAGCTCAGCTTCCCAAAATCAGGGCAGTAACAAGCTAGCTTTTGGCTGAGGGCCTCTCTCTGTGTAACCATATTTTGTGAATTTTGCAATTACTCTGCTCAGCCCTAGAAAAGAAATGCTCACGATGGAGAAAAGAATGACAATTACAGCAAGGAGGGCCCTACACCAAGGATCCATCCTCTCAGCAATGTACACACATGCTTATATTCACTCATGACAAACGGTCCCAGCAACGCTGGAGGCAAAAGCCATAAATCTGCAGAGACCTAAAAATACATTTCATTTCAGGGACCACAGCGTGCTGAAGTTTGCACCAGGCAATTGGTCGAGACACGATTTTGGGGAGACAAGCTTTGTTTAGAAACCATGCAAGAATAAAAAGCATTTCAGAAGGCATTCATAGAGAGGAAACACCATCTTCCACTAAAGCTCCTTTTTTAAACAAGTAAAAATAACAAAAAAAAAAGAAAATCTATGTTTTCCCCCATTTACGGGTTTCTGAGCATCAGCCCTGTTTCACGAGCAAGGTCACGCTGTCATGGTCAAAAATAAAAGGGAAGGGGGATTTCAGCAGGAGAAGAAGGAAGGACGCCCAGGGGAGCCCGACGCAGAGCGCTGCCCGGTGCCGCGGGGTAACAA